TGTGCTAGTCCGTCACGTAGTTGAGTATATTCCTGATAACCTCCTTGCCTTGAATTCCGATGGTTAAGACTGTTTGACTAGTACGCGTATTACGCATTTCCGACTGTCACCTATCGAATCGCAGTCTGTAGCTGTCACTTCCGGATGACGGATGGCGCGTGGAGGTCAATCGATGGTAGGGAGGTGATGTAAGAAATACACACTGACAGATGAGTCTGTTCTCCTTAAGTGGAGTCAAATGCACACCCTCCGGAAGTGCATACCTTCCTTTTTTCCGTTTCGGTTGGGTTTCAGGGTACTATTTTTTGGGATGTCTTGTTGATCGGGATTTCACTGATTTCGTTGCTTACTGGTACTCTTTCATACGTTCAGCCGCGTGGGTTGTGGCAACTGTTTTTACTCTATTTGGATGAATATCATGCACCGTGACCGTTATCGAGACTCGGATAGCAAACGGTTTTCGTTGCAAGCAAAGATGATTGAAGCTTTGCCCGGGTGTATGGGCATGCTAGACTGGCTGGCCTTCTCTCCCTCTCTCTAATGACCTCCCGGAAACGGACCACTAAGTCGCGTTTGTTGCGGTTGGTAGCATCTAACTTACCTACAAAACATCGAGTCATAGTACTGATTCCTTAATGGACTGGTTCTGAAAGAGCTGTCCACACAAATTTACCCGGTGTAGCAAATGAAGTTATTGTGACAAAAATACCGGTATATGAATGAACTAACAAAAGACTACCGGATACGCATGCTTGACGAGCGACAAAACCGGTTGTGTGCTTTCAGGGATTGTTTTTCCAGCCTTTCATATGCTACTTATATACTACTGTATTTGTTTATACCACAAATAATGTTCATCTCGCAGTCAAATTTGAATACCTCATCCTTTTCTCCCAGTTTCTACACTTACGGTGATGCGAACCTGGAATGGTGTTTGGAACGCTTGGACTCGAATTACCTACAAAATTACGATGCGATCACTCTGGATAATAGTGTCCCCTTGGAAGCTTCTTGGGACAAACCGGTAAGCATCTTATTGCTGGTGATCCACACTCCAGATGATGTTGAAATCGATCACCGATTGACGAGTCCGTTCACAAACCAGTTTTGCAGTGCCTCACATTTTTGCAGTGCACTGCACAGTCTCGACAGTATACAGAACGGATAGAGAACACACTTCGTTCCGTACTAGAGCAGTAGACGCATGTTAACGACAAACTATCCGGTAGTGTTGATGCTGTTTCGAGAAAAACAGCACACCTCAGAGGCTGGGCGATCCGATCCTCCAAAAAGACGGGACTGTATTTTTCTTTTCCTTCAACGACAATAGTCTGAGCGCCCTACTGTGTAGTTAATGGCTGCGTGTGACTGAACGCTTTCACCTCACCCCGCAAGGTACTGGCTGACTTTAGCATATCCAAAATCCATGCCAACCAGCACAGAGAGCCTGATGAGACGTGAGAAACAGAGAAAACGAGAGTAGATGACGTGTCACAGAAAATGGTCCACTTATGACATTCTCGAGACAGCTTCCTCAAACCCCATTCCGTGCATTCTATGCGTTTTTCTCAGCGTTCGGTGAAACTCACGTGTGAACCTGATCCCATGGCACCAGATCCGGATCGGCAATGCACCGTCTCACTCAGCTATCGACTTGAGGAGTAAGTTTACTCTCTGAGGATATATACATTTACTCATGATCTGCATTTTCTCATCGAATTCTTTTGTCGCTCAAGGACTATTATGTACAAACTGTAGACAATGCAATATGATCTTTGCGTTTGAACTCTTNTTCCCCCCCCCCCCCCTCCTCCAAGACCTGTTCACACCTTATTGATGCATGACGCACCCTGTTAACTGGATGCTTCTCAGCTTACGGAGGTGATATTTTAATGCGAACGTACTCCGAGCTCTTGCAACGCAGTGGATTAGACAGAGATATGCGATAGGATGTCCCTCGACTCCTATTCTCGCAACTGGAGACGATGTGAAGTTTTGCGGGCGATGAACGACGGCGGTAGAGTGGCTAGGCGACCGGGATACCGGCTAGTGAATAGACACTGATAGACAAGTCCCCTGTGGGTCGGGGTTAAAGATAAACCTACAGGAAACGGAAATAAAACGCCCAGTAAGATACAAACACCCACGAGAAAATATTATTGGTCTGGTTATCAAACGTGGCAATGCATGTCGCGTAAACCTAGAAGCACCACTATCTCTGTCCATCTAACGGGATTGTTTTGATCGGCAATCCGATTTTCTCTTTCCTCGGCCTCTATCAAGCATTTCCGTCTCCGTCTCTCTCGGGTGGATGTGAATTTAAGAGACAACCGATGACCTCCGTTGGTTCTGCGACACTGATATTCATCCGGTGTGATTATAGATCGTTAATAGCAGTTTCATCAGCTTCTCGAATCACATGAAATTCATCATATGATGCCTCGGTGCAATTTCCTCTTGATGATCGATTCGAAACCAAATTAGAATTGACTGCTCGTGAGACTGAACCGACCAAGTATACAGCTATGAAACAGCCACTTAGATTTGAAAAAATCGAAATATTGGAAGTTTACGATCATTGGTATCTGCGTTTCATAGCGAAGGCGCCTTTTCTTGGTAGGTTTTTGAATCAGGGTTTTTAGCCAACTGCTCTAGGTAAACTGGAAATGGTTCATCGACCCATTTATAGCCTCCGGGATGTTGGCTTTTCATCCTCTCTCTATTTGGTGGAGGAAAACACTGCCTCCATGGGAAGGCAGTGAGTAAGGGCTCCCTCAGCAGAAGCTGTTTAAGGCACTAGGTCGTATGGAAGCATTTCGCGAGGTGCAAGGGAACAGTGACCAGCCGCAACCCGAGACTCCCATTAGGTGATAGTCTTCCTTGAAATCGTGGGATACTATATGCCTAACCCGAGTTTATCTGATCAGTTACCACTTGCCTCCTACTCGAACGAATTCTTCTCTGAACACCGACTATCCTGATCTATTCGTTGTTTTTTTTGTGAAGATTAGAGACCCTGGTCTACTGGTGTCCGTTACACAATACTCATCAGACCCAAAATATTTTTACCGTAATAGACATAATGCATTTACCTAATTCAAGCCTGTTACAATCCTACACTTTTCATCCAACATTGATCCCTTAAAACGGTCCTTTCACACAATCTCTTCATCGTTTCACTTCTAATCTCATCTTTACCAAAACAACCAACTCCGTATTTGACCGGAGAGAGTGTGAGAGGGTATTTCTGTTCATCCGTGATGGTAAAATAACATCTCCATTACTGAAAGAGTGTAATCTCAAAGACCCCAGAGTGCATAGGTATCAGAGATTCTGACGGTCAGTCTACAACTACTGTTCTTACACCGAAAATCTCTCACTTCTCCATCCCTTCCAAACAATGTTGCCCCATTGCCCTAATCTTACCTGAAGTTAGGCTCTCTCTCTGTCCATGTCTCTCTCAACTTCATTTCTCTGTCAGTACACCGCATGACCCTTTTCAGTTCTTTTAAAAATCAAACAGATCCGCTTGCATCTCATCCATTATGCTGTGAAATCTTGAACTGACTGTCCTTTACTCTGCGTTCAACTTAAAGTTAGTTGTGAGTAGGGAGGCGAGATAAGTTATATTGATATGGTTGACTGGATGAACTAAGGTTTGTGCGTGCAGGTGTAGTCTGAAGGATGGACTGTCAACACCATATATTAAAGCTGTGGAATGTCTGTTTCTTGATC